TCGTTGTTTTGATGGCGAATATTTCACGCTACTTGCAATGGCAGGCAGTCGGTCAAAAGGTGCCTCCGATCGGCGTCTGTCATGCATCATTAGCGGCCTCAAAGGCGACCGATCTGGGTCCAGTACACGAGTTGTATTGTCGACAAGCTGCAAAGTCCATAATTAGTCATGTGCGTCGCCTGTCAGGCGTACGCCTGCTGACAGATGTCCTGATCTATTCTTATTGCATATGGAATGGTATCGGAACAATAAGAAAATTGCATTCGTTGGCAGGGGGCCGCCGAAGGTTATTAGTCATTGATATGCGCTTTTCAAAAACCGCACCTTCAACATGAGTATCTGGCTCTGGGCCGGGCTCTTTCTTTATGTGGATTCAATTTCGCAGTTGTCTGTCTATTAACAAAGGTTATGTTAGGGTTACTTATGGTTGATTATAAGTGGTTAAGATGGGAGTGGTTCCTTGGAGTTCTTATGGGGGAAAATCAGCTGATTATAGTGGCACTTCTTTTATATAAATATTTTGAGAAAAGTCCCTTGAACAAATCTAAGATAAAATATTCTGAATAAACTTATAAATAGATGCTTTAGATGCTTATAGATGCTTTGCTATTTTACAAGGGATTTGTTAAACAAAATATGTCTGAACGCCTAATAACTACATATGGTAATAAATATCATCAAATATATTGCAGAAGCTTTAATTATTATTGAGTTTTGCGATAAAGAAAAGTAATAGGTAGCAATTCTGTTTTTTTTTTTATATTTGGAATTTTCTCCAAAGGCACAGCAAGCAAAAGTAAATGACGCTATGAAAAATGCGTTAATAATCACAGTTATTGGATAATTTGCCATGCCACTCATGCGTTCAACGTTATGCCAGCAATTTCCTTTTTTTTCCCCAAATTAACTCCACAGTGAACACTCATTAGGCACACGCCAAACAAGCTGCGCACCATTCACCCGGCCACTTTTTCTCAACTTTAACAGGATGCCACACTTTGTTCAACTATCGCCATCTAATGTCCAGTCCAACAATCCAACAGCCAATTAATTACCCTCGAGAAAGAAAACAAAAAGTCAGTAAATCATTTTGAACTTGACATTCGGTGCGAGGCGAATGCAAATGCAAATCCACATCCAGATGTCTGGCTTTCGACTCCAGGTGAGGCAATTAACGGGGGGCCTGAGTCTATAATCGGAGAGGTGTCGCATTTGGCCTATGAAACTGGTCAACCGGCTGGAGACTTTTTCATAAAGGAAGCCTAGGCAAAACTATATTGGTCGGCAACATGATTTAATGAGCATTTATGCAAATGATCAGGCCAAATGTGTCCGACATTCTCCTCCTGCTGTTGTAACTTTTAGCTGTTATCCTTTGAGCATCCTGTATGTGCTCGTAAATCACTCACAACGTGTGTTTGCATATGTGCCGAGGGGTGTCGAGGGGCCCTCAGATCAATTCAATAGAGAAACAAAAACCGAACCCAAAAACCCACAAACAAAAGAGGGGCACTGGCCGATGACACTTTTAGCTGCAATCAGGCGTAAAAAGATGCTGCCCAAAAGCAATTTTCACTTTTGGTTTTTCGGTTTTTGTTTGCGTTTTTCCTTTGCGAATCAATGGGCACCGATACAAAAAGAGAACTGGAGGGAATGCGGACGGTCCCATCATCAATATTGCAACGATGCGGCACAATTTCGGCATCAGTCTTTGGGCTGAAAGTAAAATGCTGCTAAGACTTTGTAATACCCAATGTTTACTCTGGTTTAATCAAGAAAGTAAATGAAGAGAAATGCTGATAAAAGAAATCCTCGTCAATCGTTTTTTAAGACATATATATTTTAAAATACAAAAGTTCTGTAAATGGTGATTCAGAATTTGTTCCATTAAACTTCCATTACTAATTTTTAAAGAACTATTTTAAATTCTTTTCTTTTAAAATCATAGCAATAATAAAAAAGATTTATTATTTAGATATGTAGTTATATTTGGTACCTTTATTTTAACATTAAAAAAAATAATTTATAAAACATCAATGAAACCAAAATTGCCTTTATTTATATTGAAGAAACCGTTTAAATGCTTTTCCAATTAGGAACCCGTGTCAATTTTTGAGTATGCCTTTAAAATTCCATAGATGATGGGTGTAGCAATTGTCTGGTCCGATCCATGGATGAATGGTCAGACACCCAAGCCGCAGTGACAATCGCCAAGCCGCTTCCCTTCGACGTCCCTTTTGCGACTCTGTGTCTCTGTGTTTATGCGGTTGCCTTTTGGCTGCTTATTGATTTTGGTCAAGTTTTGTCTTCGTGCTGTGGTCGCTCCGAGCAGTGAAATCAATTGGAAAATGCGCTTAATGATTTTCCAAGATTTGTGCTTTTGGTCTAATGACTAAACTGGACTTTGGAGAGGGGCGTAAGGGTAAGAGAGATTGCACAGAAATCTCCGATAATGCCACACCCATTTCCTTCTGCAGACAAATGTGTAGAGGTGGCAAAGGGCAGATGGGTGCCACACCCAAGGGTTAACTTCTTGCAGAAGGGGGTTGCAGTTGCACCTTTCCTTTAAAACGATACAAAATGTGCAGCCTGATGTCCTCTTTCCATTTCGCTGCTGGCACAATTATGTCAACTTCTTGAACTGATCCTTGAAGTTCACTTCTTAGTTCACAATTCCGGGCCGGAAGTGTGCGCCGCTTGCAATTTGAAAACGATCAAGCGTAACTCGGATGCAATGAGCCCAGTAATTATGGGTGCTCATAAAGACGGTTCCCCGCGGGTTATTCGAGGGGTGAAGAACCCTTCTGGGGTCGCAGGATCGACTGGGGTCAGTCTCTTACGAGGATCTTCAAGGATACGGGTAGATAGTAATCTTGGGCTGGCAAGATGTGCATTGCACTCGGGGTTCCCTGATGCATTACAAAATCGTATTGCAACATTTTATTACATTTTTAATCCCTTGCAATCTGCGAACTCCCACTGTGACATTTCTTTCGTGAAATACAATGCAGTATTCAGTTTTCCAATAAAAAAAATCTTGTACTGTGTTGTTAAAGATTGTTATTGTTTTGTTTGTAGGAACAAGGCTTTTAGTTCAAATATACAGCATATTATTTTTAGACCTTTCAAAAATCGCTATGGAAGAACCTAAGCCGAAGCTCACCAGAATTTTACATATTTAATGCTTCCCACTTCCTCAAAATAAAAATACCGAAAATTCAATTAAAAAATGTTCAATTAATGTGATGGCCACCCCGCTGGGCAGAGATAGCTCGACATTCTAATACTCGCATATGGTCTAGAGCTGGCTTCCACAAACACAGACACAGTTTAACACACTTGCGGCCCTGGGCTGTAGGCCCACTCAAAATGGGGGCCATTTCGATAGACTACATTAACAATATTGCCAGTGACCCGGCTCAAGGAGAGGAAAAGGTCCACAGCCCAAAAGGGCATGAAAATTATGCGTGTCCATTCGGGGCTTTGGTCTCCGTCTAACGCCAGTCCATTCCATTTTATGAGCCAAGGTGAAAAAACTTTTAAAGCCAGTCAAGAGAATGAGTTTTTCTGGTTTTAAATATCGGTTTAGATTCCGTTGGTATAATAGTTTTTAGGGCGTTTTTACGGCACGCGCCCTGTAAAAAATTTCGCACCTATTCTTCATCAAAATCGTTTAGAGATGAAAGTTTCAGATTGGAAAGACGATTAATATCACTTAATTAAGGTGAAAATGTAGATGCCTGACAGCTGTCACAAGCGTATGAAACGTATCAAATGGCAGCAGACCAACAAAAAAAGTAGTAAAATACAGGAAATCAAATATCATTTTTTTATCCCTATTTTTCGTGCAGTTTTTTTCGGGTGGTTTTTCGTCTTCGCCCAATTGCCCAATGTTGGGATTAGGGATTGTGCCGAAAACATATATTAATAGTCTTTCGGGTTGGAACAATGACAGCAATCAAATCGCATTTGCCGTTATGCCAAAAGCGGATTTTTGATGGCAATCAATCAGAAAAGTGCCCCGAATCTTCTCGGATTGTTTTCCCTTGTTTTTGCCAATCGGTTTTTGTAGGATTCTGGGGTGAAATCAAAGCGCATTTAACTTTTGTGGTTGTGCAGATATTTTTGGGCGGAGAATTTTGCAATCTGCCAACATCAGCCCCTAAGCGAAAAATTTTCAACAGAAATGGGCTGTCAACGCCTGTGCGATTTGGGTTTCAAACTGGAGTTTGGTTTTCGGGTAGAAGTTGTCTAAATGGTATAGACTGCAATTTAATCCGCCTTGACAAGTGTTGTCGCCAGTTGTTGTCTCTCTGAATTTTGGAGCTGAATTATAAAAATAGAATTTGTTTGTGAAGCTAACCACCACAAACTGTATTACACTTAAAAAAATCTTCTTGTGTAAACATTTCAATGATTTCACGAAACAACTATTGTTTTTGGTCCTATATATGGAATTGCAAATATCCTAATAGTTCCTTTTTCCTGGTCAGATGTTTGAAAATAACTAAATAATAAAATAAGAAAAATATATTTTAAAAAATTTTGGTTAGTAAAAATAAAAACAAATTTTGTTTTTATCAGTTTAGAAGTGCGCCTTTTTTTTCCGAGTGTACTGCAGTCAGCTGGGCTCACACTTATATAGATAATAAACCCCGTAGCATTCAATGCACCACCGAATCGATAACAATGGACTGGTTAATTGAATTGCCCAAACCAAATGGTCTCGGTCTTTTGAATGCGTGGGCAGTGCTGACCAGAGACCAAGGTTGTGTGGAATAATGTCCCGACTTTAATTGTGTCGATTTTATTTGAATTTCGTTGGAGCATTGTCCATATCAGTTTATGGCTTTCGAAAGTACAAAACAAAGGAGATCATAAGTTTTCTGGATTGTTTTAATGCTCCTGACAAGGTTAGCTGGTGAGAAGATAGAAAAGATTGATAGCAAATGAATAAAATTAAGATTACCGAACCATACCATTCTTCACATAAATGCTACTCACGTCTTAAACTTTATTCATTGCTAAAAATACAATTTTCACATACATAACAATAGTTAAACAACTCTAATCACTAAACGACTTAAGCACTAAAAAAGATTTACATATATATAATGTATCATACATATAGCGAGCGAAAGAAAATACAAGTGGAGAGAAATAAGAAAGAGATATAAATAATCATTAGGTACAAGATTCATCACTCTAAGACTTGGGCTTTCGACTTCGATTGGGCATGGTTCTCAACGAACGCCTTGTACTGGCCACCGGAATATTGGTTGTTGCAGTACTTGTTTCTGGTGGTGCTGGAGTACTTGTTGTCGGTGGCTCTGTGGTTGAACTGGTGGAAGTAGTGGAAGTGGGCCGCCTCCCAATTGGACGTTCCCGATAAACGCACATAATTTCATCAGCAGCATCGGGACAATCGATTTGCTAGAAGAAGTTAATAAAATATATTTGTTTTTAAACTCTATTCTGTACCTAACATTTAAAAATAAAAATAAACTTAAAAAAAAGGAATACACAAGCCATATGCCTGGCGATGTTTTATAAATATTTTCTTTCAACTGTTTTAATTAATTAAATTTAAATATAATAATTTTGAAGGACTTCCTTACCTTATCGCATAATTGACTGACTGTGATGCACTTGCCACTCACACAGCGAAGTTCATCAGGAGGACAACCACCTGGAGCTGTCACAACTTCGGTGGGCGTGGGCATTGTCGTGGGTGGATTAATTGTGGTTGAAGTGGTGCTGGTAGTACTAGTGGTGCTAGTGGTGCTGGTGGCTCTATCTCTTTCCCGCTGCTGAGTCAACGCCGAGCTTGGAATCGCACTCGCCGTTCTTGTTGCCGGAGTTGTGGTTGCTGCCATGCTGAACTTAACAGATGTTCGATTTCTCTGCGAATATTTGAATTTTGTCTCGGAATCGCTGGTCATCATTATCTCCTTGCTGTCTCGAAAGTTCACTAAGAAAAAAATGCAAGGTTTAATTTTTATATAAGTGGTCCAAAAAAAATAAAGTTAAAATATTTATATATTTTTAAATATTTGTTATTCTAATTACTCTGCGTCAAAAGAATTTCGTATAATTAGTTATTTGTGGAATTGTTAACTTACCAAAACCTTTGGGACCGCCAACGGGTTCCTCAGCACTCGAATTTACCGGGGGAGCTGGAGCAGCCACCTGATGTATTTGGAACTTGGTTTCCGTGCCCGCATCCTCATCGGTTGCGGCAGTGATATAGGTATATAGCTTATCGTTCGTCTCATTTGGTGATAGAAAACTGGCGTAGGAAAAGACTCTTGGAAAGGCATTCAGTTCGGCCTCATCGAAAGGCGCCAAGTCCCCCGATCCGTAGTCATCGCAGTCTTCCTCATCACTCCCATCGAAACAGTCAAAGTTCAGATCGCAACGCAAGTTTTCTGCGATGCATTTCTCATTCGAGCGACAGCGGAACTCGTCCTGTTCGCAAACCAGACATTGCTCATCCTCATCTTCGCCACCTAGGCAATCCTTGATCTTGTCACACTGCCAGTTTTGGGGAATGCAACTGCCATCATGGCATTGGAACTCATTTCCATAGCAATAATCCCGCCTCCTTGTGGGATCCTCGCATTTGTGGCTCTCATGGGCATCGGGATATAGGCTACAATCGAAGAGTTCGCTCAGGACATCCGAGTTGGCAATCGCTATGGAACAGGACTCTAAAATGGCTAAAAAATTAAATAGAAAATTAACGCATAGGAAATTGATTAAACAAACACAATTTTGGTATTGATTATAATGAGTAATCAGTACTGTTAATAAAAAGAGAAGATATACGGGTAAATTTACATCAAGCAAGTAAGAAAACAAAACTATTCTTACAATAAGGACTTAGTTTTAAAAACGTTTGCTATTTGTGTATAAACAAAGTAAATTTGCATTTTTGGTATATTGAAAAAAGGTCCAAAACTAATTATTTCTTACCCTTGCAGATGCGACGACAGGGCGGCAGCTGTCCGATGTGCAGGGGCCGACACTCTGGTTCCAGGGCGCCACAAACGAATTCCGCCGCCCTCGCCGAGCAGTTGGACCGGATGAGCTCCTCGTAGGCTGCCATGGATGCCGCATCCCGCGGCGCTGTTCCCTCTCGATTGGAGGTCAGATCGTAGTCGAGCACGCCCTGGCACATGGGCAGCATCGTCGACTGACAGCCGCTGTTCGTCGTTGAGGGGGTGGTCAAGGTCATTGCCTGCGTGGGTCGTCCTCCGTTCGCCGAGGGGGGCGGTAGGGTGGGGGACACCCGGGTCAAAGGATGCTCATCGCCAGCAGGAGTCGCCTGGGGTTTGGGCAGTAACTGGAGGGACAGTGGAAAAAGGTGATAATTAGGTGACAAACACATTCCAGATGGTACACAAAATGTTTGCTTGGGTATGGAAAATGAAATATGGAAAATATATTCAGAGTTTCTTTACCAACCCAAAGCGCTGTGAAGAAAATAAAACCTGCACACATTAAAGGGTATGATAACACTCAAGAATTAATTGATATCACATTGAACTTTATATATCATTATCTAAGTGCTTTTTAATTAAATAGAGAAAGTTATATAATAAGCTTAGTTATTATTTGTTTATTAGTTTGATTAAATAAAATATTTATTCTTATTTGAACCTCTTTCATTACTCACGTCTTTGAGCAACTGCAGCATTCTCTTGTCCTGTTCGATGGGCACTCCAAAGCTGTTTTGATGTCCGGAGGTGAATCTAATACTATCCGCCGGCAGCAAGGTGTCATCGTAATCCCCATCACCACCGTCCTCCGGATCGCCGTCCTCCGCAAAATAAGTTTCAGGCAAATCCGTGTTTTCCCCACTCTCATCCACCGCTTTGAGTCGTGTGGTTTCCTGGGGTTCCCTTTCGGTGGTGCTGGTGATTTCCTCATCCCAAGCTTCATTGCTACTCGAACTCGTGGATGTCAAAGTTGCCTCATAGCGACGCTGTAGGAATTTAGCTCTAGCCACACTGACATCGTGAAGCCATAGGCAGTAGGTGATCAGTCCGAAGAACAGCAAAACACTGGCCACAAAAATGATGGGCCATCGCAGATATTTCCACCTGCAGGCGCGTCGAGCATAGCCCAACATCATCCAGGGTGTTGGCTTCTCTGGGCTGTTCAACTTGCCATTCAGATAATAATTAGCCGTCAATGGATACTTATACCGACGAACTTGAAGTTCGGCCAGCGTTTCGGGACTTCCCAGCATTCCAATGTGGTATTTCTGAGTCTCGCTCCAGCACGATTCGCCGGAGGTGCGGGAGTAGTCACTGTGATCTTTCAGAGATCCCTCAATATCATCGTCGATCGTTTGCACCGTGATGTTGAGGCCATGGGGATATTTGGTGGGCTGACGTCTCAATCCGGTGACTGATGAGGTTTCATTCGCAATTACTTCCAGCTGCTTCTGTTCAGCCATTATTACCTGAGCTCACCTTTCGAATGGCCCCTTCCAAATGTCAATTGCCAAATGCTGTAGGAAAAAGAGGTAAAAATGTAAGCAAAAATATGATTGAATATTTTAAAAATTGTAAATGTCTGCTGTAAACAATGAATTTATTTGTTTTTTTTCGGGTTAAGGCTTAAGAATTTATACCAATGAAAAGCCATCCGTATCGTATTATAAATATTTATTTAAATCTACAAATTATTAATAAATCGCTGCACTTGTTTTATATACAATTAAATTTAGTCTGAAAATGTTTATGTTTAGGAGTTAAACCGAAATTTTTTCCATTTTTTCTCAGTGTCCCTTTTGTATTTGCCACCGTTACATAACGCGCGGGTAATTGCTATTGTCTAACCGATTTCCGAGACTCTTCGGCAGATTAGGGCTTTGCTCCTCTCTCCTGGAAAACACAAATTTCCGAAAGGCAATCGAATTGCAGATGAAAATGAAAGTGCCTGTCAATATGCATTTCGGCATTTCCACAATCTGTGGAAAGTTGTCACCCAACCCGAGAGATTGCCGATCTGCAATCTCCTGCTTCAATTAAGCTTCATTAATTCACCTGAAAAAAAAACCGCAGCATCTTCAGCGAATCAAGAAGCAGCTGAAGTTGGTGTAATTTGGTTTGGATTTTCCCAAGCCATCAGCAGCGATAAATAATCTTATGGTCGTACATACGACGAGCATACGTACGAGAAGCCCCAAATGTATTGGCCAATAGTTTAGAAAAATTGAAATGCGAATTGCATTGGGCAAGAGATCGCCAGCAACAAGCCGGCAAGTGGCTGCTTCTGCTGCAGTAACTTCGCATAAAGTTGCAGACACACAAAAGCCAACTGAAAACTTGTTAGCCGGAAAAACGAAGAGCAAGCGAAACAACCGAAACAACGGCAATAATAGTTGGAAATAAGCTGGCGAATCTGACTGACACGAAGAATAGATGCCCTGGGAGCGGTTATTATAAATGGGAATGGACCAATGCAAAGCTTGAAATAGGCAACAGGAAAATGTCAAATAAAATGGTATTTGCTTTGTTTATTTTCGAGCGACAGATGTTTTTACTCAATGGTAATTTCCATGAAATACACAAATTTATATGGCAAATCCGCTCTCGTGTTCACCAAACAATTGAGAAATATTTGTAGACAATATTTACAATTGTAACCTTGTTGAAAATGTTATTTTAAAATTTTTATCAACTACTATGAAGAATAGAGTTGAACGACTCATCGAATCAAATTAAATTTAACATGGACTTGTACAACTTTTCCAAAGTTTATATCTTAGCTTTAAGCAATTTATGAGAGAAGTTAATGGTATAATAATATTTCGTGGGAGGAACATTAAAGCAGCGCAATTCCTTTAAAAATGTATGGGTTCACGGTATATTTCATTGGAGTTACCTTACTTAAGACATCACTCGGTGTTATGTATTCGTGTTTCTACAACTTTATACCCTTTTTCCCTGAATTGGCGTTACGAGGGCGATGATCAAAAGGCGCCTGAGCTTGGCGGCCACAGTTGGCTGAGTGTCGAGTGCTGAAGTGTTTTGTTTTGTACATATTTTTTTTGTTTTGGCTCAGACAACTCCAGTCGGGATTGCTCTTCTTGCTCCAACTGCTGCCCAACTGGTGCTAGTGACCTTTTCACTTTTGTTTTCGTTGCTGCCTGACTGCCTGTGCTTGCTTACAGACAAGTTGCAAAAAAAACCATGTTGCTCAGTTTCCATGCTACCTCAAGTGTTGCGGCTTCTTGTTGGGAAGCGAAAGAGGCGGAGACTACGGCTAAATCTGCAGCAGACAGCAAAATATTCAATCTATAAAATGGTCATATATCTATTTTAGTTGTTAACACAGGTACACAAATTTGTATTTTTAGTCGACCCGTCAATAATTAAAATAAAGTCTAATGATATGTGTAATGTGTAAACCAGTTTTTTACGAGCATGTTTGTTTTTAAAATTCCCCTCATTAACAAGAACCTAATCGTTTCCACTGTAAAATCTTTTAATCGTTTAATTACCAAGTTTGGTAATATTTTTTTCAGTATATACATCTGCTCTGCCGTTCGTTGTTCGATTAATGAGCTGCAGTCCGGCACTCAACTCTCGCCTCTGCAACTCCTCTCAAGTGTGCAAAATCTTTTCGTTTTTGTGGCCAGGTTATTAAGAGTTTTGCTGGCGGCTTTAAAGATTTGGCTAAGGTCAGTTGAATGGAGGAAAATGCTAGCCAAGTAAGCAATCGACAGAAAGGTCATAACAGCAATTGACGTAGTGCTGCGAAGAACCTTGTTTTAGGGTCGAGACTGAGACTTTGATGGGTGTAACCAAAGAGCACGATCACTGAAAATGTCTGCGGTTAATGTGGAGTAGGGGACGTCAATAACGACCGATGAGCATGTCAAGTTGTGTGGGAAATGGGGTAATCTAGGTACAAAGTGAGCACTTTTGGTGGTTAGTAGATCCAAGATCTCCTCTCAATTACAACCTCAGTTTTGTTTCTCGGTCACGCACCTATCTAGATCTTTGGCAACCTGTCTAATTAGTAACTCGAACTGCATTCGATATCTGAGTGGCTGTATCTGCGGCTGAAATGCACTTCCAGGCATTGTTCAATCGTTCGTTTGGCCAACCATTAGAACACCTTTGGGCAATGGCATGCCTCAATGCCCAGTACTGTAGTCGAGACCCCTCTCTAGTGCAATCTTCAATCGGTCGAACATATATGGGTTGCCCAACACTATATAATTTTGTTGTTTAGTTTGAGTTGCTCCGATGTTGGCCATTTCACACGTTGAACGAGAACGAAACTAGCATGCATTGCACTGAGAAAATCGGAACCACTTAGAATTTTTCTAAATATTATTTATTGAACATTTTTGAGCTTTTCAAAGTAACTAGCCATCTTTACTTTCCCAGATACTCTGAGTAGGACTTTAATTAGGACTTAAATTTAACTTTTGGTAAGAGAATAGATACTTATAATAAAATATTTTGACCAACATTTACTAGAATTTATTAAGGCTTTCATAAATATATTTATGCAACTGCTTTTTTCCCAAATCAGAGTTGCTGTCATTTGACTTGCATACGAAAATATAGTAATAATATCAATTAATAAAAGAAAAATATTTTTTCCAATTTTGTTAGCCTGAAGTAGTTAAGTATTTAAATAAATTAAGTAAGACGCCGAATTCAAAAAATCATTCCAAATAATGAATTTTACCGCTCTGAGCTTGCAAGAGTTTTGGATTGGGAAATCAGCTTTTTCCAAGTGCATGGCCCGCATTCCTGGTCAGGTAAATTGCATTGAAACATTGCAGCATCCACTGGCAAATGCCAGCTTATAAGTTAAGTCATTTTGTGACTTGGAGATCTGCAGCAGCAAAACAGCAAATGCAACTGCAACTGCACAGTTCAAAGTTATTTTGTACAAATAAATTGTTTATGCTTTTCGATTTATTTTGCCTCGGCCAGAGTACGTGCCATGCAATGTTTTTTTCCGTGCGAGGTGAGCTGGTGACTCTGACCAGTCCAAGTGCGATTGGAAGTCGGGGCCTGGGCATGAATCTGTTTCTGAATCTGAATCTATATGCGAACCTGAGGCCAGCTGCCTTCCGAAGCAGTTAGCGGGTGGATTATGGCAGTTAGACATTGCGATTATGGCCTTACATGAGCATACAACTTGCTACAGTTCTACCAACTAAATTCTGAGTCATATTTGACGGAGAATAGAAGATCAAGAGGAGCTGGGTGGTTATGAGGTTATGACAACCAGCGAACGGTCGTGTTTGGGTCGAGGTGGACTGGGCTGATTAGATGGCAACAGACTCAATAGATTCCACCGATTCTGTGCGATTAAGCCATCGATCATTGTTGACATTTTGCCAGATCGTGGGTGGATAAAGGCACGTCTGCAGTTTAATTGCCTTTTGATTCATAGATGTTTACAATCTCCCGTTCTTTCAACTGGCTGCTCATTACCGCATAACCAACTTTAATTACTTTTGCATTGTATTACATTCTATGGCTCCTTTTGTTATGCGATCGCGAAAACTGATCAGTCATGGTTTCGCGAATTCTCATTTAATTTATTTACTACCACTTATTGATCATGATCATGGTATTTATTGACTTAACGTCTGATACAAAAAAAATGTTTTATAGCGTATAATTAACCACTGTGTTAATACCTACTCTGTTCGTAATAGTCCTTGGTGTTCATACAACTTTTAGGTTTTGCAACATCTTGGGAAATATCGATCATTATACCAAGTTTACTACCGATATTAAATGTTTAGACAAATTATCGTCAAAGTAAATAAAGATAATAAATGTTGTTAAAGGTATTTCTGACTTTAATGTTCTAAAAGTAAGTATCTTGCTACAAATTACAATTCTAAATCTTTATCTTTCAAACGATCTCGAATATTATAATTTTAAATTGTTTTAAGATGAGTTTGGAAAAACTCTTGTTTTTATACGATAAAAAAAAATATAAAAAAAAAACGAAACACAGAAAACCTCCTTCACCAAGATCATAATCATCTTTAATTTCCTAATGAAATGATGTCAGAAAGCTTCTCCCATCAAAATTATGATAATTTGTTAACTTTGAAATAATCTTAGAAAGGTTATTCTGCCAACATAACATTAATCTTCAACCTCTTATGATCACTCAACCGGGGTATGATCTCAGAACAGTCTGCTCTGCCAACCAAAATCTACTCTAAGCACCTCGAAAGAAGATCTTTGAAAAAGTCTTCGACTTGTCCTAACCACTAATATCTCGTTGATATTTACGCATGTCTAGAAATCATCAATAATTGGATTTATTCTCTTTTGCCTTAAGGCATGAGCTGCATTTAAATCTTTATACTAAATCTGCTTGTCATCGGAGCAATTATTCCATCAATCAGGCCTACAAGAGATCTCAGCATCTGCACAATCATCAAACGACAGACGGTGAATTCTTGTTTGCACTTTGTCTACGTTCCACCTGTTTGCTCATTTGAATAAATTTGTAATTAATGCAGCTACCAGATTTTCGGATTTGTGTTTCACACCAGCAAACACTCATTCGATGATGATGATCGCAGCTCACACGAGAACCGCACTTTTGTCACTTTTCCACGCTTTTCGGATTCACTATGCGGTCGAGATTTTTATTTTTTTGTATTATTTGCAGGGCAACCGCGAATGCTTATGGATATGCGAATGTGAGTGCTCGACATTCATGTTATGTTAATCAATGTTGATTGCAACTTTATTTTTTCGCTTCCATTTTTTTTTCTTTAATTAAAAGTGCAAACTTCAAAATTAATTAAAATGACTTTGATTTGCTTTTCGCATGGCAATTTGGGCTTGTTGCACTGTAATTACTATCGTCTTAATTTGCATAAAAATTTCGTTTGGCAAGTATTTGTCGGGCATTTTTAAGCACGGTAATAATTGTGGGAGGATTCTTTGTTTTTATTTCAGTTTTAATTGTAGCAAGTTTTTATGTTTGGTCAAACACAGTCATTTTTGGGGTTGATCACACATCACTCAACTAATCACAAATAATCATACGCTTTGGCAATAATTGAGGACCATATTTCCCCCAAAAGGAAAAACTCACGCTTTACACTTGCAGTGGATTTTTTGAAGATTTATTGAACCCGCTTTGTTTTTAGCCGCATCCGCGCGATCGGCTGCCAAAAAACCTACTGAAAGATACAACCTCGGCTGAAGAAGCCAAAAATCCAAAGCTTCTCTTTTCGATTCTTCTGAAAGAGTCCAACACGAAGCTCACCTCAGCTCGGCTTGGCTTTCGGTTTCGATTTGATTTCGCTTTCAAGCTCAAACCACGGATCGGGTCTCAAATCGCCGGCAATTCGAGTTTCTCTCTTAAAACCAGCATTGAACACTCTTAAAATGCACTTTACCTCTTGTTTTTCTTTGATTACTTGAAGTCATTGGTTCACTGTGTCGCCTGCTATTTTTTCTTTTATTTTTTTTTACGGCACTGCAGCCAATACTTTAATGCCTCTTAGCAACGTGACGTTTAAGTTATGATGAGATTGTTGTGCCTGACTTTTATGTGGTCGTATGTGTGCGGAATGAAGCGTGCCCAGCGGCTTTAAAGAATGTTTTAATGTTGGAGTTGTGACAAACAAAAAAATTGCCGTTACTGGCTGTCGGTCTTGTGTAGTTTTGCTGGGTTCGTTTGGGTTGAGGTTTCTGCAATTGGCTTATGGAAATTTCGCACATGTGGGTGACAACTTCGACTACGAAGTGTGTTAAGTGGAAACTGCAGATGAGTCATGGAATGCTAAAAAGGGAGAGACCTAAAAAAATCGCACACAGGATGCAATTAGATTCTAATTGAAAAACAATAAAATAGTATTTATCCTGAATAAATGTGTTTAATTTTTGATGAAAATATTTGTATAGTTAAAACATAAACAATTATTGAAGTAAAAATAAAAAATAAATAACAATTGAAGGCTTTGAACTCTTAGACATTATTTTAAATTTTACTCTTCCACACAGGTATATCTATACTTAAAAGCGAAATTTGTAGTTTTGCCTCTCTAAGATTTTCTTGTCTTGAGGCCAATGATATATATGTATGTATCATGTATTTGTAGCGTTAGGTTCCTTTCCAAGGGGAAGAAGTTCGTAGGTCCGTATAACCTAACTAATCAGCGTTTTCATTTGCAGGTTTGCAAACTTCTGACCAATGCAGTTCTTCGGTCCCGCACTGAATGGAATATATGCAGACGAAGGAAGCAAATCTTCTTTACCATCCATCCATCGTTCGGGCTTGAAACTCAGGAGATCAGGGATCTCGGAACATATAGTATCTCGGATCTTGGTCGGTAGCTGCCGTCGGCCTTTGCTCGCTCCAGAATCGCTCGACGTTCGCGAATTACCTTGAAGGTAAAGTCGTTCATGGTACGAATGTTTTTATCTAGACGCCGGTAAACCAAAGGAGCCGCCAGTGGAAAAAGCCAGTCAAAATAATAAATAATAATAATAATAGACTTCCTATTGTGAATATATCAGAGCAACTAACTACTAATTAGTTTTGTATTCTAATTACCCACGAACTAACTAATGACCTTCTTTGTGAATTCAATCACAAAAGTTAAAAAAAAAATATACAAGATCTAAGAAATGCGTGCGCCTGGAAATGAGAAGTAAAACACAACGCGTTGCCCAATACACTTTGCGGCATCCACATGTGGCACACTGAAATAAAAAACAAAAATCCTGTCGTCATACGTCACCCCACACCCACTCATAGTCAGCTGTTTGGAGCCTTGGCTATTTGGACCCCACTCTATGTCCGCAGACAAGTGCGCTATAATTGGCCTGGCCCGAACGACTCCGTTGCCAATTGCAATTCCTTCGAAAAGACCACAACGCCTACACTTAAGAAAATGATTATAAATAATAATTAAATAAAAAAACTTTTGTTAACCTTTTTTACAAAATGTTATAAAGTCCAAAAATGTATATGAATAAAGGCAAAAAAATTAATAACAATTTCAAAACTGTAATTTGTAAAATATTAAAAAAGGATTTTCTTTTTGATTATAAAACTTTTGAGACTTCTTTCCTTAAGTTCCCAAATTCTTATTGCATTTAAAGGGATCTTAATTTTATTTTCTCTAGAACATACTCTATTATAACAAACATATATATATATTCTGTAATATATATGAGATTAATTTTCTTATATAATACTCGAATGACAAATATTATTTAAATACTCGTTGTAATAACCCGATGGAAAGATAAGACGATTAAATATTAATGTTTTTTTTTTTTATGCAACGAAATCGATACGCAGTTTTTATAGCCCAAGCGGGGCACAAGGTTAGTGGATTTGTGGACTTTCAGTGCGTTCGATTTCAATTTCGATTTCGTTTGGCAGTTTCTGTGCCGCGACTTGGTTTTGTTTTTGGCATCTGTGACTTAGGTTTTGGTTTTGGTTTCGGATTCGTTTGGTGTTTTCTCGCCGCTCTTTATGGCATTTTTGCAATTATGAATGGCCCAGGTCTCGGTCCGCATTCTAAATGTCAATGTTATTGCACCCGAACAGTTCGGGTGACTTTTTTGTTTGGCCCCCGTGCATCTATGCATCTGCGAGATATTTTCGTGTTTTCATTTCGCTTTGATTTCCATTTCGCGGTATCCATGGCAAAAGAGGCGGTGGTTGACTTTTGAGTGCTTGTGTGCAAGCTGATCGCATGTGGAATTTCCGCTATTCACGACGACCCACCTTAAAAGTCACAGACTCCAGTCCGACTGCGACTTTGATTTGGAATCAAAAATTATTTGAACTGCTGTAAACAATCGAAAAGGTATAGTTCATATGGAGAAAAGTTTGATTTGCTTAACAGAAAGGATTTAAATAATTATTTTCAGTGATAAAATATTTTTAGTTTTAATTTGTAAGAAAAACTATTAATAAAATTCATATATGTACATTCAGAAAAATTAAAAACTCATATTTAAGAAGTTAAAATCAAAAAACATATTCGTAGAGGGTTTAAATAATTATATTCTTATAGGAAAATTGAATGAATATGAATATATGAATATGAATATGATGTGATATGAAATTTTTATCCTATTGAATATTACTCGTGTAATTTGAAGTTCCTAAATTATTTCCAATATTTGTTTACATTTTTAAGATATTAGAATGCAACACAAACAGTGGTGCTAACCGAATTTCAAATGATTTTCGGGCTTAATAATGAAATATTTTCGGTTTTTTAGAGTATTTCAACATGTGCGATAAGCCTGGTTGCATGATACGATAAATTTCATGCACTTTGAGTTGGGGGCCATAAATTTTACGTGGCTTGCCCATTGTGCGTTGGCTGCCACTGAGAAATCGAATCAATCATTTTGCGCACACGAAAACGGAACAGAATCGGAAAAAATGCAATTGTTTGCTGTGGGAAAGGGGGGATAGTCGGTATTATGACAGCGTTAACAAAGCGCGGCAAAATTTAAGTGTTTAATTAACACAGAAAGAGTTCAACAAACACACAAAAAAAGAGAGGCTCGACAACTCGAAAATCGCTCATACGCTCCGTTGAACTTCAAGCGCTAAAACACGCACAGGGAAACTAAAAAGTGAATTCAGTTTTTTTTGTTTGGTGAATGAATGTGAGTGCTCAGCTTCATGGTGTACCAAGCTCTTGATTAATTGTACAATTGCAATTGAATTAAAAGCGTGTAAATAACTCGAGCAGTGAGGAAGAAATCAAGAGATATGTTAAAGGGGGTGTGTTTTACCCCTCAAATCGCGTCACCTGATATGCAAAGTGGGAAAAAAGTGAAAATTAATGTCTCAAAGACGACCACTCGGGTTAAATTGAATTTATGGTAAATGCAAATGAGAGGGAAAAAAACTGATGTAAAAAATCAACATTGAATTGATTGAGGTCCGAGAGAGTGCAATACGCAAAAAAGGAACAGCAGATACATGTATAAAAAAAATATCAAAAAGAAACTTTGCTAGCTCTGCGCACACGAGCGTATTGCTCTCTGGCGATTACGATTAAACACGCTTGTAAATACTGGCTCAAAATAAAAACACATAAACTGAAAACAACATGACAAGAAAAAGCAGCAAAATATATATAAGTCAAGCGGCTACTGCATCGAGGTCGAATCACAGGCGACCCAGGAAAATCTTATCCGACTTCCCAGCCAGGGGACAAACTAAATAGGAAAAAAAAGCGGTGGAAATAAAAATGGTAATGGAAAGATTTGATGGGACCACTCAATAAAAGAGTTTTCATCCAGCTTCCGTTGGAAACAGAAATAATACAAAATAAATTGTGCAAAAATTGAACGGCGTAAAGCAAGGAAGTAAATTTAAAGTTTAAGCTATAAAAGTAATAGCCTAAAGATAATAAAACAGCTGTGCAAAACTTTGTATGTTTGTTAAACACAAGAAAAGTTTATTAATAAACAACATAAAATTAATCAACAAAAATTGGTTTTAAATTTAGTAGAACCCAGTCAAAAAAATAGAAGTATATAATCTACATTAAAAATTGGTAAAAAAAAAAACGAAAATAAAAAAGAGATTGTAAAAATACTTTAAAAATAATATTAAGTTAATGTCATGACTGCATAAAAATATGTATTATTACATATTGCAAGATACCAATCTTAACTACACTCAGAAAAACAAAATTCCTAGATTTTAGGAAAAATTGGCTTAATTTTAGGAACAATTGCCTTACATAATTTAGGAAAACATGACATTAAGGAATTACTGCCTGAGAGTAGTTTCTATTACCAATTAAAATGAAGGGTATCACTGTCGTGCGATAAATATTTCCAGCATTTCGCGTCCAATTTAACTCGCAAACTGTTCAATAATGTGAGTAATGTCCAACATTGAAAACACCAACCACTCGAGAAGGGGGGCAAATAGAGTTGTAGCTACACCATAGCTCAACCGATCTATATACAAGCACAAGCTTTGGTATGTGAACATTTAAAGCCCGGCAATCATCCGCATCCGAAGCACATACTCAGCACTCCACAGCCCACGACAATATTGAACGCACTTGAGTGCCCGTCCCGTTTCCGTGCCCTCCTCTCAGATTCCGCCTCCAACTATCCGGACTTCGAATCCAATTCCGTGCCTTACATTAATCCACCTGGAAAAAATCTGTTCACTTAATTAAATAACAACTTAAGCA